GTGTGCATCCCGCTCCGTGTGCATCCCACCCCATGCGCATCCCACCCCGCACACAGCCCTCTCCGTGTGCATCCCGCTCCGTGTGCATCCCACCCCATGCGCATCCTGCTCCGCACCCATCCCGCTCCGTGCGCATCCCACCCCGCGCGCATCCCACCCTGCACACATCCCGCCCGCTCCGTGTGCATCCCGCTCCATGTGCATCCTGCTCCATGCGCATCCCACCCCAAATGCATCCCACCCCACACACATCCCACTCCATGCGCATTCTGCTCCATACGCATCCCGCTGCAGACACATCCCTCTCCGCACACATCCTGCTCCACACGTCCCGCTCCATGCACATCCCTCTCCATGCTTTCCTCCCGCCGCTCCCACCTAAATATCCCGTGGGAGAACTGAGGCCACCCGTGACATCGCCACCGCGCCGAGGTCACCCGCGTGGCCGGGGACGCCCGGCCTCGTCCCCGCTGGAGCATTCCCTGCGTTCGTCGCTTCCCGGATGGATGCGGAGCATTCCCGCCCTGTGGGGCGCTGCTCTCCCTGCTCCTCTGCTTCCCGCTCCGCGCCGCAGCCGGCCCTTCCCGGGGAGGCTGCGGAGGCTCCGTCCTTGGAGACGTTGGGAAGCGCCGGGAGTCGCTCCCGGGCAGCTCTCGGTGACCCTGCTGGAGCAGGGGGGTGCGTGGGATCATTCCCAAAGGCCGCTCAAACTAGGAATGAACCTCTGCTCATTGTGAGGAATGAGCCTCATTCACGACCGGCCGCGTTCCTGCTCCCCGAACAGCCGAATCCGAGAATAACCCCCCTGTTTGTTCTTCCCCTAGTTCCTGAGGGAGGACCTGAATTACCACGACCCAACGGTGAAGCACAGCACCTTCCACGGCGAGGACAAGCTCATTAGCGTGGAGGACCTGTGGAAGGCCTGGAAGACGTCCGAAGGTAAATCCCAAATCCCAGCCCCGGCAAAACCCAGGCGGGCGAACCCGGCCCCCCCTGCCCCGCGCACGGACGCGTCGCATCCCTGCGGTTTGCTGGAATTCGGGAAACCCGAGCGGGAGCAGCAGAGGAGCTGCCGGAGGAGCCTTCGGCTGCGCCCCTGCTCCCTCCCACACGGCTCATCCACCTTCCTCCGATGTTTTGTTGCTCTTGTTCCTTTTTCCAGCTGCCAGCTCAGCTGCTAACTATGGGAATCAACCCAAGGCCGATCCAGCAGCGCCGTGTCCTCCCTTTAAACCTCCAGCCCCACCAGGGGCTTCCCTGGGCTAAGAGCATCCCGAATACTTGAGCTGCACGGAGGGGTTAGAGATAACAGTTTTCAGGACCTCAGGGACCCCAGACCTAGTGAAAAGAAGGAAAACCAAGGCCTGGAGCTGACAGCGGAGATGAGCACGGCCAGGACAGAAGCCGCAAGCTGTTAGGAAGTGGGGCTGTTCTCGCCGGGAAGCAGGGAGAGGTTCAGTCACTTTAGCCCTGAAACTTCCCCAAAGTCCAAAGTCCCTGAAAAGGCTTCTGGGCACCTGGTCCCGGGATTCTGAGATGCCGGGAAGGGCCAGGGAAAGGCCCGGCGGCTTCGGTGTTTCTGAACAGAGCGTAGAAATTCCTGTTTTGAGAGGTCTTGGGGTTGGTTTTTCTTCTATTTCTACTCCAGAAACTTTGCCCTCAAGTATTGGGCTTCGTACAGGATGATATTCTGAGCCAAGAGCACTAGTAATAACCAGAAAAATCTGAAATGCCCCGAAAAGGGGGGGCTTGGGGAGACTCTAGGAGCAGCAGCCCCTGTTGCAAGGGGCTCTCCCGGGCGGTTCCGTTCGGACCCTTTGCTCTGCGGGGTCGGTTCTGTGCTCGGTGCCTGTCTGTGCCAGCGCCGGGGCTGCCTCCTCCTTGTGCTCTGCCTCTTCGTTATCCTGTGGCACCCCCTGCTCTGGGGACCCGGATCTTGTCACTTGCCAGGGTCCCTGTGCTCTGGTCTTTCCCCTTCCCTCTGTGGCCCAAAACAGGTGATTTTACCAGCAAATATCGCTTGAAAAACTGGATCCCGCCCTTTGCTTCATCGCCTCGGAAGCTGCCCGTTTCCCACCCAAATCCTCTTTCTTTTGTGTCCGATTTGTCTGTCCCAGACTGGGATTTTTTGATGGTCTCCAAGTGCCGTGTCGGTGCGTGGCGGGGTGTAGGTTATAATCCTCCTGATCCCGGAATTCCTAAACACATTCTCGGCTGCAGCCTCCCGCTTGCAACCGGGGCGGCTCTGGCTGCACCCGCGGGGCCCGGCCAGCCGACGTGTTTGAAATCCTTGTCCGAAACCTCAGGATGGGGGCGCCAGGGCAGGCCCCGCTCCCTGCTGCCGTCGGCCTTCCCGCGGGTTGGGGGCCTGGATCCGCAGGAGTTTTCCTGGGCTTGGGCACTTTGCTGGCTTCGAGTTCCTCCCGCGGGGCTGGGAGTCGTCCCGGCGCTCCCAGGATCACCCTTTCCTCCTTTTACATCTTGCTGCCTTTTACCTAACTCTTGGCTCCAGTTCGTGTCGAACAGCCAACACCCTCCTGCCCTCTTTCCTTGGAAACCTCGAGCTCCTTGGAGCGAGCCGGGAGCTGTTCCTCATGCTTGTGTATTGACTCACTGCTGGCGCTGAAGAAATTCCCGAAGCTATTCCCGTGGCACCTGTGAATTCCGTAATGGCAGGAGCCTCCGGGCCAGCAGTGGATGGACCCGTTCTCCAGGGGCGCTTGGAAACGGTGCGGAAGATCCAGGGATCCCAGGCCGGGAGGATGGCAGGCCGGGATGCCCGCGCCTGGCTGTGGAGCGCAGAGCTCGGAGGCTATTGGGGAACAGGCGCTTGGCACAGAATTCCCCAAAATCCAGAGGCGGTTGCCCACATCCCGGAGGGATGACTCACCTGGCTGCCCCCAGCCTTCCCGCCCTGTGGATTGGGCTCGGGAGCGACTGGGAATTCGCTCTCCTTGTGCGCATTTTCATGGAGCGCTTGGGCACGGCCTTGGCTTTGGGTCCGAACTCATGTGGCCAAATGGTGCAAAGGCTCTTGGAGCCACATGCGTTGCCTGGAGCTGTTGTGAAGAAACGGGGTGGAAACGATCCCACTGGGACAAGAGAAGGTCGCACTGGAGCATTGGGGGCAGCTCTGGGCTCCCCGGGACAGGAGGGACCTGGAGCTGCTGGAGAGGGGCCAGGGCAGAGCCACGAAGATGAGGAAGGGACCGGAGCAGCCGTCGGATGAGGAAGGACTGAGCGAGTGGGGCCTGTCCAGCCTGGAGAGGAGCAGCCTGAGAGGGATGTGACCAACATGGACAAGGACCTGAGGGGAGAGTGCAGGGAGGACGGGGCCAAACTCTCCTGGGTGGTGGCCGGTGCCAGGACAAGGGGTGCCGGGGCCAAGCTGAAGCCCAGGCAGCTCCATGTCCATGTGAGGAAGAACTTCCTTGGTGTGAGGGTGCCGGAGCCCTGGCACAGGCTGCCCAGAGAGGCTGTGGAGTCTCCTGCTCTGGAGATCTCCAACCCGCCTGGATGCGCCCGGGTGCCCCGTGCTCTGGGTGTCCCTGCTGGAGCAGGGGCTGCACGGGGGGATCCCAAGAGATCCCTGTCACCCCCAACCATTCCAGGATTCTGGGATTCTGAACCTCTGTGGTGACAAACTGCTGCCTCATGGATCAAGGTTCAAGCTGCTCCTCGCCACGGTGGACACAACTGCTCAGAGCACAGGTCATTCAGGCTGCTTTTTGGGATACAGACGGCAACTCCAGCCAAATCTAGACGGGCTGCCCTCGCGGTGGCCATGCTGCTGGCTCTGCGCTAGGAAATGTTTATTTTCAGTTTACAGCTCTGTTGAGAAACTCAGATGTTTTTGCTCCCAAATTAAGAGCCCTGCCAAGACATTCCGCGTTTCCCGATAAACCCCCGCTCTCTGCCCCATGCAGGCTGCTCCAGCTCTCCCATACTCAGCCTTCCCACCCCTCCGGGATGGGGGCTGGACGGAAGGGCATCCCCGGCTTCACATCCCACCCCTCCGGGATGTGGGCTGGACGGAAGGGCATCCCTGGCTTCACATCCCATCCCACTGGGATGTGGGCTGGAGGGAAAGGCATCCCCGGCTTCACATCCCACCCCTCCGGCCAGCGGGAAGGACGTCCCTGGCTGCGCCTGCTGTCCCTCCGGGCCTGCGGTTACGTGTGTGTAGGGCCAAAGCCTTGAGCTGGAGCAGAGCAGCCCTGCGCTGCTTCCCGGCGTGGTCCTTGGCTGCTTCCCAGCTCTGCCCCATGCTGCTTCTCGGCTCTTCCCTGCGCTGCTTCCCAGCTCTTTCCTGTCCCGCATCCCGGCTCTACCCCATGTTGCTTCCCAGCTCTCTCCTTGGCTGCTTCCCAGATCTGCCCTGTGCTGCTTCCCGGCTCTGTCCACACTACTTCCCGGCTCTTCCCTGCGCTGCTTCCCGGATCTCCCCCATGCTGCTTCCTGGCTGTGTCCCGCGCTACTTCCTGGCTTTGCCCTTGGCTGCTTCCCGGCTCTGCCCCACGCCGCATCCCGGCTCTTCCCTGTGCTGCTTCCTGGCTCTTCCCTGCGCCGCATCCCGGCTCTTCCCTGCACTGCTTCCCAGCTCTTCCCTG